CAAGTGTCCCATCCCCCCCCCCCCCCCCCCGCCCCCCCCCCCCCCCCCCCCCCCTCAGACTCCCTCCCCCAGCCTTTTTTTTTTTTTACCCCCTCTAAATCTTTTGTGGTGATATGGGTTAAGCTTAGGGCTCTCAGGTCACGCTTCAGTCCTGGACTGAAGAATAATTTTTATAGTGCTACCACTGAAGACCTTGCCCTGAGAAAGGCTGCTGGGTGAGTTTCCCAGGACCCATGTGGGGGAAGGAGCGCCATTCATTCAAGTTGTCCTCAGAGCTCTTCATGTGTCCACACCCACCCACTGACCTCTGCATTTGTATACATCCACACATACACACACACACACTGACCTCTGCGTGTCTATACACACACACACACACACACACACACACACACTGACCTCTGTATGTGTTTACACCTACACGTAGACATTGACCTCTGTATGTGTTTACGCACACACACACATACACACACACACACACAGACTCTGCATGTATACACACCTACACAAACACTCAGTTTTTAAAAGTTCAACAAACGAAGGACCCACGTGGATAGTTTCTACTGAGTGACTGGACATTTGGTGTTGAGCTTCTCTTTAGTCTGTTTTGAGACAGGGCCTCTCTGTAACACTGGGTGAACTAGAAATCCCCAAGTAAACCAGGGTAACCTCGAACTCACCGAGATGCCCTTGCCTCCCCACGCCCAGCTTGGACTTTAGACCCCTGGGGGTTTTGTTTGTAGGTTAGGTTGGTGTCCAGCTCGAGCCTCCTCCCTGTCCCTTGAACACAAGGACCACAGATGTGTGCCACCATAGCCAGCTGATTTGAAAGTGGTCTTGTTTGTTTGTTTGTCTGTTTGTTTTGTTTTTGCAATGCTGGAGCTCAAGCACAGGGCTCCTTGCATGCTGGGCATGTGCTCTGCCACCAAGCCGCACCTTAGGGCAGTATCAAGTCCTTCGGTTTCTAGAGAAGTAGAGGTGTGAATGGACAGATAGGGCACGGTCATGGTAGGACCGTGGGTCAGTAAGGAAGATGAGAAGGCAGAATTCTCAAAAAGGACTAGGGAGGAAGGGAGGTCACAGGAGGGTGAACATCTTAGAACATTGCCAGATGCTGGGGGCGGGGGTGTGGCTGCACAGGCTGGCCGAGGGGGAAGGACGTTTGCGGGCACCTCCCTCAGGAGCCGCCCATGTCTGAAGAGGCATGTATGTGAACGCCAGTACTCCTGAATTCTGGATTCTCTCTCGCCCTGGCCACAGGTTTGGCCCCTACTACACAGAGCCTGTCATCGCCGGGTTGGACCCGAAGACCTTTAAGCCCTTCATTTGTTCTCTAGACCTCATTGGCTGCCCCATGGTGACTGATGACTTCGTAGTCAGCGGTACCTGCTCGGAACAAATGTACGGGATGTGTGAGTCCCTCTGGGAGCCCGACATGGTAAGTCAGCCCCCCAGCCGCGCCGGCCTCCGCGCCCGCAGCCATCAGAGGCAGCTGTGTTTGTGCAGCAGGCAGTGGAGAGGAAGGTGTGGCAAGAGCAGGCCACAGCTGCTGCTCCATTCGAGGGTTCCAACTGGGCCGGCGGTGTGGATAGCAGCCTCTTTACCCACCCCGGTCACATGTTTACGGCGTCCTGCTGGACTTCTAGCGTCCCCTCCCATGACAGGGAGTACCACAGTGAGCCTGGAGCCAGCTTGTCTGAACTAGAAACTTGGTTTTTTAGTTTTTTTTTGTTTCTTTGATTTGTTTGTTTGTTTGTTTCTTTTAGACGTGGGTTCTCTGTGTAGCCCTGTCTGTTCTGGAACTCTCTGTAGACCAGGCTGGCCTCAGACTCAGAGCTCCACACCTCTGCTTCCTGAGTGCTGGGTAGAAACCCATTCTTACGTAAATGAGTCAGCCCTGTTCTACCTCCATTTACCTCAGCTGTGAATGGGGACATTCTCAGACTGGGCCCTGGAGAAAGTACGTGGAAAAATTAGAGCTGTGCTTCCCAGGGAGCCACTCTGCAGGCTTTCGGGAAGCCAGGTACAAAGTGACTGCAAGGGTTTGCTGCCTTAACCAGGCAGGCATTCAAATGCCTATTCAAATGTTAGAGGAGGAAGAGGGAAAAGCAGGCCTGGGGCAGGAAGAACAGCCTGTACAGGGTATTGGCCGGGCCAGAGATGTTCACTGAATTGAGAGTACCTGTGGCGGGAAAATGTGTGTAGTGAAATGAGGCTGGAAAAGAGTAGGAGGGATCTCAGAAAAAACCACGCCACGTCTAAATGCCTTTCTTGAACGGAGGGACCCTGAGGCACCCCAGCTACAGCTCAGTGTGACTGGGGTCAGGAGGGCAGCCAAAATCAAGGCGGGGAGTCAAGATGGAGACTTTGAGGAGTCGGCTTGTAAGATTGGGTGGGCTGGGTTTTGAGGTGCCTGTTGGACACGCAGGATATATATATGACAGGTTCCTATATCCAGGGAACCGCCCCTCACACCAGACATGGCAGGGCCTAGAGCAGGGCAGTTGGAGCGCAGAAAATAAGAGGGTTGAGGTGCCAGGAAGCTTTGCTCTTTGTGCACATCCCAGGCCTGAAAGCTTTACCTTGTTGCAGGATCCAGAACACCTGTTTGAAACCATTTCCCAGGCCATGCTGAACGCTGTGGACAGGGATGCCGTGTCAGGCATGGGCGTCATTGTCCACATCATGTGAGTATGGGTGGGGAGAATTCTAGGGACCTCACACAGTGTTTCCTCCTTCCCCACAGCAAACCACTTAACCTCCTGCGCCCTGTCAGGGGTAAGATCAGAGAGGTGCCACTGGACACACAGCACGGTGACAGGACCCAGGTGGTGGGACATTTGTATCCTCAGCTCTGGGGAGGCAAGAGGGTTTTGAATTCAAGATTCGCCTGAGCTAAACAGTGAAGTCCCATCTCCAAAAAAGGAAGAGGGGGACAGAGAAGGAGTGAGCCAACAGTGGGCAGCTGGGTGCTGCCCAGACTCTCCAGGCCTCTGTCGGGTGACACTCTGGCCACGTCTCCTCACAGTAGACATTTCTTTCCTTCCTTAACAGTGCCCCCAAAGTCTCAGGGATGACCGTGGGCGGCAACTTCCTGCAGACTGAGTGGGTGGTGGCTCCCTGTCCCCAAGCGCCCTCCAGTCTGCAGCCCAGAACTGCAGAGCTCACATCCCAGTCCCTAGCCAGCCCCGAGATGCATATTGCTCTCCCTGATGGAGGCTATCTATCACCGGGAGCCTAGCAGAATGAAGTAGTGTCCCCTCTCCTCCCGAGGCCTGCTTACTGACCATAAAGAGCAGAAGGTTCTTGTGTCCTCAGCAGTGAGACACAAGGGCTTGTGAAGCCACTTGTCCTGTAGGCCTGAGGGCCACCGCTCCTTTGGGGGCTATCTCAGTCCAGTCCCAACCATCTCCCTGCCCTTGCCCATGCTGCCTTCATAACAGTCTGTAGGGCAGGCACCAGATGCTTAGGGTCAGAGGAGAGGCAGGCAGTGCACATGATTTTTTTGTGTGTGATTTTTCTCCCTTGGCAGTGAAAAAGACAAGATCACCACCAGGACACTGAAGGCCCGGATGGACTAACCAACCCTGTGCCCTAGTCCCAGTTTTGTTTTGTTGTTTTTCTTTTTAATAAAATTGACTTTCTTTCACTCCTGCTTGTGTTTGTTCCCATAGCTCCCATCAGGGACAGAGTCCAGTATAAAGAACTACCTTATCTCAGCCCTCTTAGGGTTTTTCTGTTTTTATTTTTTGGTGCAGGGGTTGAACCTGGGACCTTGGACATGCTAGGCACACAGTCTGCTACTCCAGCCCTCTTTTCTTTTGGACTTGCCCTTGCTTCATTGGCACACCCGGGGCTCCCTACTAGTGACCAGTGGATGCCTGGACTGGGCTGGGCTGTGTACAAAGTGCTTTTCATATCTTAGAACTCGGTCATCATTGTGAGCCAAGGGAGCTAATGTGAGCCTTAGACATGAAAAGCCTTCATACAAGTGTCTCCGTTCACTTGCTAAGCTGTGGTGCAAGGATATAAACCCATGTTCCATTTGCTGCCCCCCCAACCCCTTTCATTAAGCTCCATTGGCATCCTTCCACTGTTTTCGTGGAGTTTGGCCAAGGACCATGAATGATGTAGGTCAGTGTTTGTCTTCAGTTCATCGCTTTGGCGGGGGTTAGCAAGGTCTCCTTGGAGAGGATCTTATTGGCCACTTAGGACACCGTGCGGCTCACAGGAGCCCATCTTGTAGTGTGTGCGCAGTACCCCATCAGTGGCTATCTGCATGGCTCCCAGGTAGCCCCAATTATCTCCAACTCAATTTAAAATAATTCCCATCCAACTCATTCCTATTTAAAATAATTTTTTGGCCTGGTGGTGGCGGCCTTTAATCTCGGCGCTCAGCAGGCAGAGGCAGGCGTATCTTTGCTAGTTCAAGGCCATCCTTGTCTGTAAAGAGTTCAGAACAGCCAAGGCTACACAGAGAACCCCAGTCTCAGAAAACCAAAATACATATTTTGTAGGGTTGGACTCGAACCCAAGGCCTTCAGTATTAGGCAGTATTCTACCACTAACCACAGCCCAGGCCCTTGTCTGCCTTCCAATGATGTCTCTACCTCCCTCTCTGCTGGGCTAGAATGGCAGATACACACAGCCATGGTGGGAGGTGATGTCTGGCGGGATTTTTCCTTTTTTAGATGTTTTGGATCAGTAGGTCTGGGGTGATCTAAGTTTTGTTTCTGAATCTGAGGTGCCACTGATGGGGCTGGTCCAGGCCCACGCCACATAGCCAGTTGGGATCCGTGGCTCCTAGCCGTTGTCTGCACAGCTGAAGTGAGGGAGCGGGCAGCGGTACATGGTAATAACTAGTAGGCACCTCAGAGTAGCTTCGGTCACGTCGCTTCTCCAAACCGCACGCCGATTTCACCGGAGCTGCCTCTAAGACCAGCACAAAGACACTCTAATGGGGGGGGGGGGGCTGTACCTCCACGCACTCACATACCAGATGTACACAAAGCTTTTTGAGTTTTATTTTGTCCTCCAGTTGGAGATTTCATTTTTTAACACGCATGCATTTTAAAACAGTAACAGGGGCTTGAACTGTTGAGAGCAGACATTTGACAAGCACAGGGGTGGAAATTCCTATTTAAAAAAAAATGGAACTTGCAGCCGGAAATGGAGAAGTCACATGTGGTGGGTGGTGCTTTACTCCTGCAGTCCCAAAGATGACTCTGGACTTCATTGAAATTCTGTGTGTTCAACGTTCTGACCCGCTGCCGAGATGTGCTAAGCAGATGGGTTCCCCCTAAATGTGTGGGCGCCCACCTCACAAAATGGCTGTGGGCAAGTAATGGGCTCTTCCAGTGCCTCCCAGCCTCCTTTCCTGTTGTTGAAGTGCGGCTGAGTCTCATTCCCCCTTTGAGTCACCCTTCCTAAGTGGCACTTTCCAGAAGACGACTGGGACCATGGCTGGCAGATTTTGGGTAACTGTCTAACTGTGCTTCCCTTTGAGCCCTGACCCCCACCGGCCGTCATGACTGCGTATGAGATCTCTAAACTTGGGAAAGCACAAACCAGAGCTCCGAGGGCTGTCTCAGTACACTCAACTGTCCTGCCCAAAATACTCGAGTAGGTCATATCCTAGAAACAGCTAACGTTTTTCTCCCTCTGAACCTGAATTGTTAAAAAGGCTATTTGGGGTGGGGGAGGAGGGGGGTGAATTAGCTACTGAGAGAGTCCTGGGGCTTTGGTCACCTCCCCAGGCAGGCCTAGCACATTGTGAAGAGGGCAAAGTCTCCACAGGAGTCCAGTCTCTCCTCCCTTGAGCACTGCCAGGGGACTTGTTCAGGCCTAAAGCCCAGGATTGAGAAAACTGATTGGGGGAGGGGGAGCTGCCTGTTGGGGGAGCTATACTGCCACTGAGAACAGCCTGGGGGCCACTCACGGCGCCAGCCACAGACCAGTAACCCCTGAGCTAGATAAGGAGAGATTGAGCACTTCAGCAGAGCCACACTCCTCGCTGCCCTGCACGCCCCTGACGCAGGGACACAGCCTGAGGCCATTACTGTCTTAGAGTTTACATGGTACCCCTCACTTGGCCTGGACTTGAGACTTCTCAGCTTCACGCTTTCCACAGGAGGGAAGGGGACTGGGTACAGCACAGAGGCAGGGTGAGGAACTGGGAATTCCCTCCCTTTCCGCATCCAGGCCTCACCCAGTTGTCCGGCTCTTTATTCTTACGTGTCTATTTCTGGAAGAGCCAACATGGTTCTGGAGGCCCATGGGACGGTCTGGCCGGTCTGGCTGCTCCTCATGGCTTGAGGAGTCAAACGAATGGTCTTGTCTGTCCAGAAAGTGAATGGTGGGGACTCAGAAAAGAGGGAGCAGATAAATGGGGGGAGGGTGTGACCGTTTTTGAGACTGAGGCCAAATAGCACATCTTTGTCACAAAGAAAAGAAAACTTGTATGAAACCAAGATAAATAGCTTTCAAACGTATGAATGCCAAAGGAACCGGAGGGCCAAACCCGAAGTTTTGAAGACAACACAGAGAAATGACCTTAAAAAAAAAAAAAAAAAAAAAAAAAAAAACCTTTAAATCCACCAAACCACAGCTCAAGTATTTTGACCCACTCAACAATACTGTCAGTGAAACAAAGATTATCTGAAACAGAATGCTACCTTTCAAAACTGTAAACAATATACAAACAAAACAACCCCCCCCAAAAAAAAACAAAAACAACTCAATGTTAACCCAGTTAGACTAGACGTCTGGTAGCTACTTTGATAGGACTGTTAGGATTTTCAAATGCAGAGCAGGATCTACAAGGGCCTTGGCTTCCAAGCCTGGGGCTCCCGGGAGCAGATCCGGATTCCTCAATCTTGATTGTAAGGTGGGGGGAGTGGAGTCCAGACTTTGTTCCTATAACCCCTCTCCTAAATTAAAACCACTTTTCCATGAGCCACGTGGGTCCGAGTACTTCCTCAAGACCCTTGCGTGGTCCTGCTCCCCAGAGCATCTTGGGAAGGACTGTGGCCCCACCTGCCTCACCAGAAGGGCTTCCACCAATGTGGCAGCCGCAGAGAAGCCCCAGACTGTCACCTTGCTTCCTTAGTTTAGTGCCACTTGGGGAGGACACAGCACAGTGGCTCCGGCTCCCCAAGCTGAGCTCAGCTCGTTGGGGAGGCAAGCCATTGAAAATCATTTGTTCACCCAAGATAGTTCCACAAACCAGCTTCACATCTTTGGGGTTATCTACATACAAATTTTCCATCTCATTCTGAAAGTTTCTGATTTCCTTTTGAGGGGCTGGGAGGAGGCAGGCCTGTACCTCTCCCAAGTGCAGGCCAACAGGGCCTTTTTTGTTGTTGTTGTTTTTTTTTTTTTTTTCTTCCTAGCAACCAGTTGGCCTGGTGGCATCAGAAATGACTTGTGTAGCTAGCTCCCTTCTGAGGCCCCGGGCCGGAATCCTGAAGGAGGCTGCAGGATGTCACTCTTTCCAAGGAGGCCTGTAGGCAGATCCCAAGTTCAGAAAGGGTAAGAGGGCAACAGGGAAAATCAGCCCTGAGGCTGGGGGATGGGTCAAGCCCCACATGAGGCCTCCAAATAGGCTTTCCTGGGTCACGTCCGCAAGTGACTCAGGCAACCTCAGGTGGAGCACCTTGCTGGCTAAAGCTGTCCAGGCGAGAAGTCACAGGCACAGGGAGCCAGGCACCTGCATGGCAGGCCGGGGCTTGGAGTGGCAGCGTCTCTGCCCCTGACCACATGCCCGCTACAGGTGGCTGTGTACCCAGAGGTCAGGAGTTAGGACATGGACAATGCAAATGGCCCCATTTGACGAGTATTCGTTTCTGGGAGTTTCCCAAAGGGAAACAGCCATGGAGGCACAGGGGTCCCGATAAAGGCAAAGATGCTTTCCAGTTCCCCTTGAGCCAGTGGGAGGCAGGCTTGACAGACACTGGAATTCCAGTCAGAGGCGCAGGCGGCTTGGGTGGTGATCTCTGGGCTCTTTGAGAACCAGCTGTCTGACGGTCATGCACCACGGGATGAAGATGAACCTGTCCCCCTCGGAGGCCCCTGACTCGGGCCCCAGATGTCGGAGTCAACCTGCAGTGTTCTGCAAGGACAGGGTGGAGGAGGGAACGTCACATTTCACTTGGATCCAGGGTGGAGACACGGAGGGAATTATGCACAATACTCCAGGATATGAAGACGTCCATCCGGGTGCGCTCAAAACGCGGCCAACGGAGGTGCCTGACCTCCTCTCGTGGTGTCCTCAGAGCAACTGCTGTTCAGGGCCCTTGTGCTGGCCTTAACTGAAAGGAACAGAGAGCCTGACAGGAACAGGGGGAGGGTGGCTAGGGTGGTGACATACAGCATTATAAATAGCAAACCTGGAGCAATGAATTTAAGGAACAAACCCAAATGAACCCACAAAGTCAACTCCAGCCCCAAGGTATCACAAAAGGTTACAAGATACCGAGGAGGGAACCCCCGTTTGAAACAGGGACAAAAGGGGCGAACCAAGGGTGCTCGGAGTTAGGCTGCATCCTGTGGCCTTTGCACAAGCAGCGCGTCCCTCCCTCCCTGCTAGAGCTGCTCTGTGTCACAGGCTGCAGTCCCTTTACTAAAGCCCTCTGGACCCCCCGCTCTGCTCCCCACCCTCCCTTCCAGCCCAAATGCACCCTTTCCCTCTCCCGATCCCCGACCCCTCGCCCGGCAGTCTGGCTCTGGCAGAAGGTAGAGTGGACTATGTCAGGATGTTGGACATGAACTCGTTGAAGCGCTTAGAGTACTGCTCCGGGTTCACAGTGGAGATCTCAGCCCCGGCCTGAAACACAAACATACGCACTCGGGTCAGATGCCAACCCTAACTGGAAGACTGGGAGTGGACAACTGAGAGGCACCAAGTCTTCTAGGGCATTTCTCTTTGTTTGTTTGTTTGTTTGTTTGTTTTTCTTAAAGGGCCCTTAAATTTAGACCTTAAATCAACCTTCCTGATACTACAATGCTTTAATACAATTCCTCACATTCTGGTGACCTCCAACCATAAAATTCTTTTTTGTTGACATTTTGTAACTAATTTTACTGCTGTTATGAATGGCAATGTGACTATCTGACACGTGACCCATGTTAAAGGGTAGTTAGACACCCCCAACGGGGTTGTGACCCACAGGTTGAGAACTACTGCCTTATACAAAAAAATAATAACTTTTCTTTTTCAAAGGCAGTTTTGGATGTGGCCCATGCTGGTCCTGACTTTATATAGTCTTCCTGCCTCAGCATCCTAGCACTGACGTCATTAGGCCATGAGCCTGTTATTCGGCATCAGGGATCACCAGGCCACCTCAGGAAGTGGCTTATGTGTCACGTCAGTGCTCTCCTGGGCCCACTCTGACTGATGTACCCAAGGAAGATGTGGAAAGGCGACGTGGAGGTGGCACAAAGGTCCTGGTCTCTGTTGGAGGCCAATGTGTGGAGAACCAAGCCCGTGGGGAGCACTGTGAGCATGGAAACAAAGCTACTCTTGGCTCTCCAACAAGAGGCCCAACATGCCCGCCAGCCCCAGGGGAACGGAACTGGCAGCTCGGCCCAAAGGCCACACAACTCCTGGGAAAAACAAGCCGTGTTTATTACCTGGCCAGGCAAGGAAAGAGGCAGGAAAGCAGGGAGCACAAGGGAAGACAGCCAGGCTGATCTTCTCTATTGGGAAGGAGGGCGCAGACACGTTCCCAGAGCAGGAGGCCAAGAGCACCCTCCAGGCACTCCGAGTACTGATGTATGTCACAGTTCTGGGCCCCGGGAGAAGACTGGGAACTCACCCCGTGTTTCACTGTTTTGGCAGCATGTGCAGCTTTCTTCTTAGCATCATAGGGTGTGAGGATATCGATGATGGCCATGAAGTAGACCTCCTTCTTAGGGGCACCTGTACAGAGAAGATGGAAAGTGTCTGCCACACCCATTGCCCTTGGATCCAAGGTTTGGAATTCAACTTGTCATTCTGGAGCCAGGGAGCAAAGGGCTCCTTAAAGGGTTCCTTTGACCTCTGGCCACTCTGTGGGACCAAGGCAGCACTACAAAAAGGTCTGTCCTTCCCATGAACTGTGTCTCATCCCCCAAGACGGCCAGAGAAGTGACGCTAGAGCTGAGGGCAGAAACCCCAGGTCCCAGTTCTCAGGGTGACTGTAAATAGGAGGCTGGAGGTGGCAGGTCACCAACGAATGAGGCGGGGATGCGGGCGCCCCAAGTCCCAACAGTGAGTAGAAGCACTCGGGGCTGGCTGGGCGGGGTGGCACCACCTCTTACTTTCGTGGCTTTTCATGGCATAGACGTCGACCGAGGGGTCGAACTCTCCGGGCCCAAAGAACCGGGGGAAGCTGAGGAGGTTGCCAGGGCTATCCGGGGGTGTGCCGTAGGAGCACAGCAGGCTGCCGCCCACGCCGTCGTTCTCGCATTCCTCGTCCTCGGCTCGCTCTTCCACCTCCATCTCCTCCTGCTCCGCCCGGTCGACGTCGTGGATGCCCACCAGTAAACTGTAGTCCATGATCTTCAGCTGGGCAAGGAACTAGGGAGGCGGGAACAGGACGGAAGGAAGGAAGGGAGGAAGGGGGTTATGTGGGGTAGCCCAGGGCCATCTGGAAGGGGAGAAGGCAATCCTTTCAATTCATCTAGCTAGCTCCACACCAGCTTCAAAAATGCAGCGGGAGTAAGATGCCATAGTCTCTGTCCAGAGTGTGTCTAGGGTGAGGCAATCACTCAGCAGAGGGTAGGAGGACTCTCTAAGGACAGGCACCAGGCTGTGGCTGCAGGGTGAAGAGGAGCTAGAAAGGCATGGGCTGGAGGGTGAAAATCGAAGCATCACTGCCTGATCGAGGAGCATCCCAGAATGGTCTCGGACCAACTGAGGCCGCAGGGAGTCTGAGGAAAGACGTAAAGGCATGCTGCTCTGTGGAAGAGAGTGGGAAGGTTGGTGCAACCCAGCAGTTCCTCCAGGCTGCAACTCTCAACTTCTGTTAAGTCCTAAACACACACACACACACACACACACACACACACACACACTCTCAAGTAATTGTAATGGGAGGTGCCCTACCACTGTGGGAGTGCCATGTGTCCGATGGACTAGTAAAGGCACAGGAAGAAAACATTCTATGCCGGTGACAAATGTCCCACCAGTAAAATGAGGCATGTGGAGGTTTGAAGGAGAATGCCCCCATGGGCTCAGACATTTGCATACTTGGTCCCCAGGAAACTGTTTGGGAAGGATTAGGGGGTGTAGCCTTCTGGGAGTCTGTATGGGTCTTAGGTGTGACTCTTGCCAACACCCTTTGATCCCGTTCATCTTCTGAAGGTGAGAGAGGTTCCTGATCTGGGAGCAGGATGAAGACAAAGGTTGGCTGGTACCTCAACGTCTCGCTTCAGTTTTTCCAGGAAGTTCTTTTTACTCTCTTCTCCCACATGTAGCTTCTGCCCTTCATTGAGGAAGTCATTGTCTTTGAACGTTGGCAAGTCCTTAGCCTGGGAGAGCGACAAGCAGGGTCAAGTCAGGCGGGCTAACTCACTCGGCCGGGTAGAATGGCCGTTCTGCCAGGAGCAGCATGCAAAGAAGGGAGAGGGCTTTCACACAGATGCTCAGTGATGACAGCACAGAAGCCAAGAGATAAGTGTGAGATAAATGTAAGACGGGCGAGGACAGCAAACGTGTATCAGCCAGTGAGGCCTGTGCGAAGGGTCCTCTCCTGCTGAGCCTGGACTACACCAGAGTTTAGGAGCTTCTTACTGGTTCAGGCTGAACTATAGCCTTCTCCATCCCAGCAGAACCACAAAGAACCCAGCAAAGGCAGAAGGGAAATGCTGAGTGTGCCAAGGACAGGCAGGTGCTTAATGACACAGAACATTTCATGGTGACAGACAACATGTTTGGGAGCTGGGCTGGGGTCACAGAGGGGAGATGACAGATGGCCAACAGAAGGTGTTACCAGTGGCAAACAACCCTTTCACCTTTGCTCAGCGTCGGCATACCTTTTCCTTGTCACTTGCTTCTCTAGCAACAGTAGAACCCTGGGAAGGACAAGAGCGGTCAGAAGTCATGCTGAGACAAACTCCTTTAGCAGATACACGTGTGTGTATAGGAGCCACAGGCTGGAATCTCTGCCCTCCCCACCTGTTTTTTTTTTTTGGTTTTTTTGAGACAGAGGTTTTCTGTGTAGCTCTGGCTGTCCTGGAACTCAACTCTGTAGACCAGGCTGGCCTCAAACTCACAGAGATCCTCCTGTTTTTGTTGTTACTGTTTGTTTTGTTTTGTGTGAGACAGTTTCTTACTGAACTTGGAGCTCACAGAGTTAGCCACACTGGCTGGCAGGCAAGCCCCAGTATCCTTCCTGCTTTTGCTTCACAAGTCCTGGGATCAGGCGTGAACAATCTACCCTTGGCTTTTTACCTGGGAGCTGGGGACTGAACTTCTGCCCTCATGCTTTCACAGCAAGCACTTTTACCACTGAGCCGTCACCCTAGCCCCTTAGGCAAACTCCTTTGAGCAAGCAAATGTGCACCAGACACTAGACACAGCATGTAAATGAAAGCAGGCTGGTGAGTGTCTTAAAGGAGCCAGAAGGCAGCCTTGGCCCACTCTAACACAAGCCATTTCTTGAGCTGACTCTGACTTAAAGACGTGGCAAATGCTCCCTGGATACTGAGTTCCCACTCTCATGGGAAATTCCTTACGGCAGGGGCCAAATCATTCATCACAATGGTGTTAAGTGGCACAGGAGGGGACACTCTGAGCATGAAATCCAGGGCTGGGCCTGGACTAGCATCGAGGAGTGGTGGTGGTCAGGCCTACTTCCAGAAGGGAAGTAGGAAGTGTCTGGTCAGGGGAAAGAGGAGGCGTGGAGGAAACTATTCAGACAATATATGTGAAATCCTGGCTAGTGGGAGGGGAAGGGCTGTGGGGAGGCAAGGAAAAGCAGTGTGGCTGCAGCAGAGGGAGGGGCGGGCAGTGCAAGGTGACAGAAATCAGGAAGCATGGTTCAAGGTCAGCAGAGTACCCTGCTTCAAATCCTCAAGGGCGTCCTTCCTGGTATATAGAAACCAGGTTGTGCCGTCACTTCGCAGCGTCTGGACGACAGGCCCAGTGTGCACATCAGCACAGCCTGTCCCCCCTCTGCTGCTCTTGATGTGCGTATCCCACAGACAGAACATCCCCTGTCACACCCTATGGTACGCCTAGGGCTTACGTACCCTCCTTATGACTGTCACCTTGACTTCAGCTAGCCCTTGGTCTACAGTAATTAGGTCCATCAACTCTAGAGCTGTCTATCCCCCACAAGGTGGGCTTTCCCCCTAGTGATACGTGAAGCCTTTCCCAGCCTCAGAGAGAGCAGTGTCTGCACAGCCCTTTACCTTGAGGTCGTATTTGCGGTGTACAGTAAGCCGGTGACTGAACACATTCCTCGTGACCACCATGTAGGTTTCCACACCGTCCACGGTCAGGCGGTACATGCCCAGGAACTGTGGCAAGAGGGTGTTGCCATGGCATTCCACTATGAACTGGAATGGAGAACAGGAAGAGAGGGGAGGCTCAGAGGCGGGGAAGCACCTGGAAACACTGGGACTATCCCGGGCCAAGACGCTCTCTGAGATTCTGCCTCTGGACTAGCGGTTTTTCAAAGCATGCTCTGTCAGGGCTGGGGAGCTAGCCCCCTGGTTAAGAGCACGGGTGGCTCTTCTAGAGGACTTCAGGAGAACAGAATGACCCCGCATCCACAAGTCTGACTACTGCGTGGGTTAGAACCCAGCGTTTCTGCTGTGACGTGGAAGGTTGGCAGTTCCTTTCACCTCTTCTCAGTGCCTGGTTGCCAGCTGCAATGGTTTACCTTCGATAACAACTTAGCTGGTGTGGCAGCATCTAAGAGAGAACTAGAGAGATGGCTCTACTGGTCAAGAGCACTTGCTCTCTTCTAGAGAACCTGGGTTCAATTCCCAGCACCCACACGGCAGCTCCTAACTGTCTGTAACTATTTGTGCCAGGGGTCCTGACACTCTCTTCTGGCCTCTCTGGGCACCAGGCATGTATATGGTATATATACATATAACAGGGCCCATACACACATACACGCATATGGACAAAACACCCATAAACTTAAATTAATTTTTTTAAAAAGCACCTAAGAGATTAACACAACACACTTCTGGGGATATAGGGATATATTCCAGACTCAGAGCCAATAAGAGCATGAGGGCCTGACCTAAGAAATTATTTAATCTACTGATGCAATTAAAGTGTGATGACACGACTGGCAAGAGGGAAAGGTAAGAGGTGGGGACAGTCAGGGGAAGGGGAGCTGGGGACACGGCCTTTAGGAGCTGTGCTCTGCTCTAGCCACTTCCTATAAACCCTTTCTGTGCTTCCTGCCTGCCTCTCCCTTGCTACCCATTTCCAGCACTGTGATACTCTGCCCAAGTACATGAGACCAAGGGACTGAGCTCTTTGAAACCACAAACCAAATCGGCTCCTTCCTCCTTTTTATCACACTTCATTGGCTGATGAATTGGTTGGCTGATTGCGTTTGCATGGTACTGCATGCTGTGGAAGTCAGAGGACAACCTGCAGGAGTTAGTTCTCCTCCCGCCATGCGGCTGAACTCAAGTTTTCAGGTGAGGTCTGGTCCTCAGTTGGTGGCATTGTTTGGACAGGCTTAGGGGATGTGGATTTGCTGAGGGAAGTACGTCACTGGGGCGGGGGGGGGGGGGGGCTTTGGCGTCTCAAAGCTGCACGCCATTCCCAGTTGGCTCTGTTGGCTTCCTGATTGCAGTTCAAGAAGTAAGCTCTTGGCATGCTGTTCCAGTCACCAGGCCTGCCGCCTCTACTCCTGCATCTCAAATGCTCACCCTCTGGAACTGGGAGCCCAAATAAAGTCTTCCATAAAGTGCCTTGGTCACTAAGACATCAGGGTCGGTGGCGAGCTGTCTTATGGCCGTTTCCCTCAGGTGTTTTGCCGGGGCAATGAGAAGAGGAGCTAATTTACTAGCACCTGCCGTTACCAGGGCGCACCTGGCCTCCCCACCGGGCCCCGCTGGAGCCCTCTCTGTCCCTCTCCCAGCCCACCCTCCACAGCCCAGGCCTGGGACTCACCATACCTGGTGGTATTTCTTTAGGATGTTGTGCATCTCGGCCACATCCTCGCTTGACACGGTCTTGATGACAAAACGCCGGTCGTAGGTGGTGAGGAACCGCGTGCCACACCTGCCCTGGCTGTCGCTGTTGATGGGAGCGCTGCGCGTCACCGAGTTCTGAGGGTCCAACCGAGAGCAGTTGGCTTGGACTAGGAACGCGGGGCAGTTTTCCTTTTCCCTTCTCCTTCCCACAGCCAGCGCTGGGAGGTTACCCAGAGGGCCCTGCGCGTGCTGGCCAAGCGCCCTACTGCTGAGCTATCTCTCTGTCCCCGAGCTTCTGGCTTCGGTTCGGAATCCTCTACGGACTGAGCTGCCTAAGGACTGACAAACCCCGAGACGGAGGGCCCCGGAGCAGACCTCCCCTAACCCGTTTTCTCTTGGAGTAGTCACAGCCCTCCTCCCGGGATGGCGGACCCTGGGGACGGCAAGATGGCGTCGCCGGCTCCCCTGAAGGAGAAGAGGCTCATGGAGGTGAGAGTCGGCGAGCTGCCCCGCTGGCTGCTCCTGCGGGACTTGAGCCCCAGCGGCGTCGCGGGCGCCTTCCGGAGAGGCTACGAGCGCTACCACAGCAAGTACATCGACGTGCGCAAGGGCAGCGTGTCGGGCGTCACCATGGTGCTGGCGGCCTACGTGCTCTTCAGCTACTGCCTGTCCTACAAGGAGCTCAAGCACGAGCGCTGGCGGAAGTACCACTGAGGAGGGCAGCGGCGACACGGCTGCCCACCCACCCACCAGAGGACCCGGCCGCGAGCCGGGGCGGCGCCCAGTAAATGCCCACTGACCCACCCCGCCAAAAATAAAAATAAAAATTCTCTCAGCATGATGAGAGATGCTCCTGCCTTTGACCTCAGACTAGGCTCCGTGTGTGATGCATGACATGTTCATTCCGACCCAGAGAGCTGCTCTCAAAGACTACAACCGCTTCCATATGAGAGGCCCAAGATCCTTGGGCCTCACAAGCAATGTGGCCTCAAGTGAGCCGTTTAAGTTTCTCCACTTGGAACACAGGCAGACAGGACTACGTAAGAATCTCTTAGGTAACAAGGCTCAGGTTCCAAAGGCCCACCGCAGTAAGCAATGGGTATAGGCTTCTTTTCCATGTATTGATCCCATCATTTGAAGCTCCTTCCTAAGCAGACATCACAACCTCACAAAACCCTTGGGAGGGGCTAGAGAGACGGCTTAGCAGTTTGAAGCGCGGACTGATCTTTCACAAGACTCGAGTGTGATTCCCAGCACTCAACGGTAGCTCCTATTCCAGGGGAATCTAATGCCTCTCACCTCCCTGGCCACCGCACTCACGTACAAGTACCCACACACAGACACCCATAATTAATAAAAATAAATCTTTACAAAACAAAAAGGCCAGGTGTGGTAGCACACATCTTTAATCTCTGGTCTCGGGAGGCAGAGGCAGGTGTAATCTCTGTGAATTCAAGGCCAGCCTGGTCTATGTAGCAGGCTCCAGGGCAGCCAGCGCTTCACAACGTCATCAAAAATCAAATGAACGACAACAGCCTGGGAAGAGCCAGCACCGCCTTCCCAGGGACAACGCTATGAAGAGGTAGGGAACGCTGGACGTCCGTAGTGAGGCCTGCCCTGCGAGCCCCCAAGCCAAAGGCTAAGCCGCCCGCTCTCCCTGCCTGGCCCTGCAGAAGGAAGCCAGGTGGAGATACACAGCTCTGTCGCCTCAGGTCCAGCAGCAGCTGCGACTCTCAACCACCAGGAGCCCTCTCCCTCAACAGCAGCCCTGCTGCTCTCATTTCAGCCTGGAGCACAGTCACTCATGTGCCCGAAAGGCTACGAGAGCTCTGATGCAGACACGGAGAGGATGTGGTGAGACGGGCCCAGGGACCGGGGACAGACCACAGCGGAAGAGACAGAGCCAAGCAACCTGGGGTGGCAAACGTATGACTCGGCTCAGGGTCCCAGCAGACGGGCCTCAGGACTTGTCAGTCATGGACCTTTCCTCGGGCTTAAGCCTGCCATCCATCTACTCCTCCCTCCTCAGCAAGACACTCATCTCTGCACCCCAGCCCTCCAGAGTGGTGGGGGAGGAGGGGGAGGCTCAGACCCATCCCACTCCTGTGAACTCCGCAATGTTTGAAACAGTGCTTTCCAGGGTTTAGGCAACTTGTTTTTTTATCCCCTTACCCCCCTCCCCCCCAGACGTCAGCACAAACTACTGAAAAAGTCAGCTGTGGTCCTACAGCTTAAGGGCAAAGAAAATCTCTTCCACCTTCACTAGCAGGCTGTGTGGCAGGAAGGAAGGGGCTCGAAGTGAGGGTAGAGAAGGCGAGGAGCCATGGCCGCTGAGTCAGACTCAGCTGTCAATGACTTCAAGGACAGAACACTGCAGCAGCTGCCCTGCTGTGCCTAACCCCTCCTACCACAAGGACAGGTGGCATGTTTAGGTGACATGTGGGTTGCAGTGTGCTATACTACCCTTGGCGTCTTCCTTTCCTAATCTGTCTTATCTGCTTCTAAGAGGCCTCATAGCTTGTGCTCTCTCTGTCTCAGTCAAATGACAAAGGAGAGAGTACTTCGGCCTAGACAGGGACTGTCAGACTGAAATGAAGCTACTACCACACAGCTCTCTTCCCTCCCGGGGCAGGAGCCTTCAAGCCATCTTCAGAAGCTCCTGAAGGCTCACCTGGTCTGCTGGCACTAGGAGTGAGCTTGGACAGGGAGAGGCAGTAGCCCAGGGACAGCTGACACTCTGGCCCCTCCCTGCCTTGTGGCTTCCTGACCCCCTCATCCCTGAAGCCTCCGGCTGTGCCAAGGCAGCCCCGTACCTGGTAATCCTGGTCATCGATGCCAAACCTCTCCCTGAGGTTTCGGAACACCATGGGGCAGTACTCCTTGAACTTGAACCGGCTGGGGAGGTTTTCCCTGGGGAAAGCAGACACAGGCTCTGTGAACCGCCCTTACTCGGCTCTAGAGACACCAGAGTCCTTCAAAGTGTGGCCCAGAGAAATTCTGGAAGTGAGTCTCAAAAATCCACATTTTCCTTCTTTCTTTCTTTCTTTCTTTCTTTCTTTCTTTCTTTCTTTCTTTCTTTCTTCCTTCCTTCCTTCCTTCCTTTCTTTTAGATTTTTTCTTTTTTCTTTTTTTTTTGGTTTTTCGAGACAGGGTTTCTCTATGTAGCCTTGGTTGTCCTGGACTCACTTTGCAGTACACCAGCGACACCACTTTGTAGTACATCAAACTCACAGCGATCCTCCTGCCTCTGCCTCCCAAGAGCTGGGATTAAAAGCATGTGCCACACCTGCTTACACACACCCCTACCCCCTCACTCCCAACCCCCACCTTTCCCACCACTGGCAAAAATCTGCATTTTCAACAAACACTGTTGGGAGATTCTAGGCAGGTGGAACTTTACGCTCATCTCTCTGTAAGAAAGTCACACTTGTTTGTTGGTAAGCTGTCCTGAAAACCTGAAAAGCATGTCTCCTGGGGGTGAGACCCAGCAGATGACCCCCCTCACAATACGCTGGGGTGAGCGTGACTACACAGATCTTTCTCATTAGAAGGCCATTCTTCCCAGGGGTGCTACCAGGAAAACATTCTGAAGAGAGCTATGTCCGGAAGCCCTGCCTGAATGTCCACGGTTGAAAAGAAAGGTGGAAGGGGTAGAGAGATGGCTCAGAGGTTAAGAGAACCGATGGCTCTTTCAGAGGCCCCCGGGGTTCAATTCCCAGCACCCACCTGGCAGCTCACAACTGTCGGTAACTCGGAGATCTGACGCCCTCACACAGACATACATGCAAAACACCAATGCACATAAAATGAGAATATATATATATATTTTTTTAAAGAAGGAAAGGTGGTTTGACTCAAGTGTTCCCCTGTGACACCAGAACTCAGGAGAGTAAGGCAGGCACGGTGAGAGTTCAAGGGCAACTCAGGCTACTTGGTAAGTTTTAGAACAGCCTGGGGTATGCAGTGAGATGGCACAAGCAAACAAACTTGGTGTGTACTCAAGATGTGTTCAGTCAGCTGACTAGGACTGTGAGTTTGGGGCTCTTTTGTGGGTTTTTTTTTTTTTTTTTGTGGTACTAGGGATGGAGTCCAGCCCCTGCATTTGCAAGGCAAGTGTTCTACCACTGAGCTGTCTCTACAAAGCCAGGCTCCTAGTGAGAGAGAGCAAATGATCCGGAAACCAGGGCTCTTCCCCATCTCCGCCTCTAGGCTAACTCTGCCAAGGGACTCCCTTCTGGACTGAGGCCCTCTGGCTACACCACCATGCCAGACTTCCTGTTTCCAAAATAAACAGCTCCCCCTGAAGCCTCCCTACACATCTTCTAGACTAGCACTGTTGTCTAATAAACACTACATCTAGAACTGTGGAACGAACAAGAGCAAAGGTGAAAGAAAGTTAAGAGCTCGGGTGTTCGACTCTGGACCAAGATTCGAGTGGGAAGGGAAACGCTGGGAGGTGTGTGAGGTCCCTGGAGCCTCACCTTTCAGACAGCAGCACTTCTTTGTCTGCCCGAGTGGAGGCCTGCGCCCATTCCTTAGGAAGACACTGAGGAGGTGGCTGTTCTGAAGACAGATGGCTTCTAGAACAAGGTGTTCCCACCTACCATAGCAGGGGAAGGCCACTAGCAGAGGTTCTGAAATCAAGCTTTTCCTCTGGGCTGACAGTCTGACTGCTCAGCTGGTGAGGTGGTGGGAACTAAGGACAATGAGCAACAAGACCCAGGGGGAATGCTCAGAAGGGAGCATGGTGGAAATGCCAGGCAGTTTCTGGTGTGGTTCGTTTTGAAATGCAAAACTAAGGCTGTGAAGGGATTTAGAAGCCAGGAGTGAACACCCTAAGGCTGTGAAGGGGCTTAGAAACCAGGAGTGAACGCCTGTACCTCCAGCACTGGGAGATGGAGGCAAGAGAAGGAAAGTTCAAGACACCCTACTGAGATCAACCCTAAACCACGTGAGATCTGCCTCAAAGCAGCAGCGGTGGCAGCTTAACAGGAAAAGGCTTGGAAGGCAGGTGTAGCGCATTCTGGAGGTTGAGGCAGGAGGACTGCTGAAAGTCGGAGGCCAACCTTATCCACACAGTGGGGTTCAGGCCACCCTGAGTTCCAGCATATACCTGTAATCGCAGCACTGAAGGGGCAGGTAGGCGTTCGCGGAAGTTCAAGGATAGCCTGGTCTACTTAGTGAGTGCCAGCCAGCACTACTTAGACAAACCCTGTTTCGAGGGGGGAGGAGGAGGAGGAGGAGGAGACTTAGAGTACACCCTCCACGGTGCTAGGTTTGAGATGACTGCTGAAGGTCTCCAAAAATGCCTGGGGACAATTTCTAGACATTGGTCTGAAATCCAGAAAGCCACAGTCAGAAGTGAGAGAAGTTACTTTGTGGAGCGACCTGGAGCATCAAGCTCAGCTTGGGCTTTAAGCACAGGTGGAAAACAAAGGATACATGTAACAAAGGTTCTAACAACCGTTACATCCTGAGATCAAGATGCGGGCCCTGGCCAGCCCACGCCCAGCATCCCAGCACTCGGGAGGCAGAGGCAGGCGGATCTCTGTGGGTTCCAGGCTAGCCTGGTCTACAAAGTAACTGCACACATAGCCTCCTCAGCTCCCAGAAGCCCACTTCCCTGTCCCTGGGTCAATCTCCTGGGGGCCCAGCCACACGCCCCAAAGACACTGGAAGTCCTCTGATACAGAAGGGAGATGACATATGACATGCATAGGGGAAATCACATTTTCAAACGCATTTTCCAGGCCTGTTTGTCACCTCTGGCAACAAGCGTACTTGTGACACAAGGTTGGGTGTTTTAAGGAAGTAAAAGACCGTCCACAAAAAAACCCTAAGGCCTCCCCTACCCAGAGAGCACTTACTTATTGAAGAGATGATTGTCCACCTTGATCTTGCTGTAAGCTTTGAAGTCATCCGGCATCAGCATGACAGGGACGGGGACATTGCTCAGCTCATTGATCTGCAAAGCAACGGCAAAGTTTAGGCAGAAAGCCGCACCCAGGGAGACAGGCTACCCAACGTGGAAGGCACCCACCTCCAGATCCCATCCGGCTGCCTTCTGCTCCTCCTAGGAGTAATGCCTTCACGGCCTCACCTCCACCTGTTGATTCCCGCTAAGAGCTCAAAGGCCCCTGTTCCTGAAGCTCCCCTTGCTCCTCGGGCGTCCCACATACTTCAGTGAAGGCTGATAAACCTTGTGGGCCTGCTAGACTTCAGACGGGCAATGCCGTAAGACTCGTCTTTCTTTCTGGTGCTGGGGATCCTATCCAGAACCTTGCACACGCCAGGCCATTTACTGGTTGTGCCGGCAAAGATCACCTTCTTGACCCCCGAGGACTCCCTACTTGACCCGGGAGGACTCCACGCTGGCAGTTAACTCAACACACACCTGTGGCTGTAACAAACGCATTAACGAGTGAACGCCCTACAACCTCGATGCTTACTAACGGAAGCCTTTTGGTTATCAATACAAACAAAGGGTCACTCAAAAAAAAAAAAAAATTAGCTCAAAGCAAGAAAAAGGCTGGGTGGATCAGAGTGGGTGTAACTTGTGTCGCCAGAGCGAAGGATTAAATTTAAAGTGATGGGGTATGGTGTTGCAAGCCTTTTTAATCTCAGCACTCAAGAGGCGGGCACGGGCAGCGTCTCTGTGAGTTCCAGGCCAGCCTGATCTACACAGAGAGTTCTATGCCAGCTAAGGCTACACAGTAAGACCCTACCTCAAAACAAACAAACCAATAAATAAATAGACAGGCAGATAACTGGATAGGTAAGATTGAGAAAGTGACAGAGGAGTTAGAGATCACTTTGACTCTCATGATAAAAGTAGGACCAGTTCACCATGCAACAACCTGCTTTTGCTGAATTGGGGGTGGGGGTTATGATTTACCCAAGCCTTCTCTGTGTGACAGACAGACATGGATGGACACACACACACAAGCCTAGACAGGGAGCCAGCTCCCCACTGGTGCAGGGCTGAGGGCGGATCCTGCATTCCCCCATCTTGCTCAGCCAATTAGCTGTCCTAATTAGCCACAGATGTCCTCTGAGTGTTTGACATTTGACCCTCAACCCAGTTGCCACTAATGCACTCAGGATTTATGGAGGAGACCTTAGTCATGACTTAATGGACTGGGGGTGAGGGACACAGCCCTGCGCCTCCCAGATGCTTTCTTGGCAGAACCTCCATTATCTACGCGAGGCCCCATGTGGCAGAAAGGGGATAACCTTCAGCCATTAGGACTCCATCAGGGGTACAAATGGGGGAACTGGCATTTCATTTGTTGCTCATTTTATGTTCTAAATCTTTTTTACTTAGAAAGGTCAGTTGATGGGGTAAGTTTCAAGTTAACTGGGCCAGTAAGCCACTTTCCCAGAGCTGGTGAGAAGCCTAATGTACCTATGGGTAAATTGAGGAAGATGTCTGTGTGTGTGTGTGTGTGTGTGTGTGTGTGTGGTGTGTGTGTGTGTGTGTGTGTGTGTGTGTGTGTGTGTGTAGAAAGGCAGAGAGAGAATGCAATGAGGGAGACATTCAAGCAATAGCTGGCAAACCCTTGAGAGGAATAGACAAAAAAGCACATCCCAAGTAACTTCACCTACTTGAAACTCTAGAACAGGAATCTAAGCACAGAAATGACATACCACAGTCTGGGTGAGCTGGGGATGGCCAGGAGTAAGAGGACATAGGAAATATGTTTCTCCCCAGGCATGGCAGCACACCTTTAGAAAAACCCCAGTCCTCTGGAGACAGAAGCAGGTGAAGCTCTATGAGTTCAAGGCCACCCTGATCAACACAGCAAGTTTCAGGACAGCTGGGCTACATAGAAAGACCCTATCTAAAAAACAAAACAAGGGCCTGGAGAGATGGCTCAGCGGTTAAGAGCACTGTCTGCTTCTGCTCTTCCAGGTTCGATTCCCAGCACCCACGTGGCAGCTCACACTGTCTGTAGCTCCAAGATCTGACACCCTCACACGAACACACATGCAGGCTAAACACCAGTGCACGTAAAAGAAAAAATAAATTATTTAAAAAAAAAAAAAAAAAAGCAGCAGCGTGTTCTAGGGTCATAAGACCAGGAGTGATGGTACTTGCCAGTAATCCTAGTGCTTGGGAGAAGAAAAATCAAGAGTTTAAATAAAATGAGGCATAAGAAGCATTTTAGGCTGGGTATGACGCTCAGTGGCAGAGCATCTGACTGGCACATACAAGGCCCTGGTTCGATCCCTATCAGTACACAATAAATGAAAGCTAACTATAAGAAAGCTATGTTGTGGGGCTGGAGAGACGGCTCAGAGGTTAAGAGCACTGGCTGCTCTTCCAGAGGTCCTGAGTTCAATTCCCAGCATCCACATGGTGGCTCACAACTATCTATAATGAGATCTGGTGCCCTCTTCTGGCCTGCAGGCCTACATGCAGGCATAACACTGTATACATAATAAAAATAAGTAAAAGAAAGAGAAAGAAACTTTTCTTTCTTTCTTTCTTTCTTTCTTTCTTTCTTTCTTTCTTTCTTTCTCTCTCTTTCTTTCTAAGTTGAACTGGGCATAGTGGCACTTGGGAGGAAGAGGCAGGCAGATCTCTGTAAGCCTGGGTCCAGGACAGCCAGGTCAGGGCCTGGCTGTTACACACAAAATCCCTGTCTTGAAAAACCAAAACAAATCAAAACAAAACCAAAAAAGAAAGAAAGAAACCTCTGTTGTTTGGTTCCATAAGCACATACTTTTTGTCAAAAGTCAGTAAACTGTAAATTAAAAACTCATGAGTTTTATGCTATGCCGTTTTCTTTGATAAAGGCGGTTCCCGACTGATGCCCTTTATTGGTTACACCTTCCACAACAACAGTTGTACTACAAGGGGATCTGACTGTCAAATCTGTGCCTACAGTGGAACCCACTCCATTGCCTTGTTTTTCTGCCCCCAAAGACAATTCATGGTGGCTACCCCACTTCCTCTTTTCCTGGCCTTTTCAAGCCTTGCTCTAAAAAAAGGAGAAATAGAGACCCAGAAGGCTGAAGCAGGAGGACCTCGGGTTTGAGCCTGGGATACACAGGAAGATCCTGTCTGAAAGATAAGAGTGCGGTGTGCTGTGCTGTGACTGGAGTCAGGGCAGTTAGAAGGCAGAGACAGCAGGATGAGTCAGACAGCGAGACTATCAGGAGCACACTGAAAACAAAGGGGTGAAAAGGCCTTTCCTTCCAACACTTGAGAAGCGGAGGCAAGGCAGATCTGTTTGAGATGGAGACCAGCCTGGTCTACACAGCCAGTTCTGGGCCATCCAGATCTACATGGTGGTGAGGCTTTAGCTCAAAACAAAACAAAATTCATAAAGACAAAGAGGCAATACAGAAAATGGAGTGCAGGCTCTTAGGCAATTATGACTTTTCTTTTTTTCTTTTCTGAGACAGTGCCTTCCTATATAGTAGTCCTGGCTGGCCTGGCATCTGGTATGTAGACCAGGCTAGCCTCAAACATGCGATCCTACTGCCTCTCAGTTTCTCAAGTGCTCAGATCAACTGCATGTACCATGCTAAACTTCAGTTCTGCTTTTCCAGTTCATCCCTCCATTAGGAAGAACATTTCATTGGCTCGGAGAATACTCCCAAACAATATAGACTCTGCTACAACTTGATTCTGGACTGATGCAAGATACAAGTTGGTGCTAAGGACAGGACTTGATTGTATATTAACCATGATTGTTTTTCGTTGTTATTTTGGGTTTGGTTTTTCAAGACAAGGTTTCTCTGTGTAGCCCTCTCTGTAGACCAGCCTGGCGTAGAACTCAAGAGATCTGCCTGCCTCTGCCTCCCAAATGCTAGGATCAAAGGTGTGTGCAACCACCACCTGGCACAACTGATTATTCTAAGAGCGCCAGGCTGAAATTATTCTAATGGCGACTAATAAGGAATGCTTTATTCATTAATTTTCTGAATCCTTTTTTAAAAAAAGCTTTATTTTTAATTATGCATTTATGTGTGCATCTGTGTGTGTGGATGTGTACGTGAGTGTAGGGCTAGAAGAGCCTTGAGAGAGCGAGAGAGTGCTGGCCACGTTACATGGAGGCCTGCAGAGGCCAGAAAAGGGTGTTGGATCCCCTTAGCTGGAGTTACAGGAGTTGGCGAGCCACCATGGAGGCCGGGAACTGAGCTCTGGAAGGGCAGCAAGTGCTCTTTGTTAAGAACTAAAAAGAAGAAGCAGGGGGACAACCGATATCTCTGCGAGAGGTTTATTAGAAGGGTACGGAGGAAGTGGGAAATGGGACATGGTGGGGAAAGATAAAGGGGAAAGGGGGGGATGGGGCGCCCCGAGAGAGTGAGGGGGAAAGTAAAGAGAGAGACTGTAAGAGAGGGACCACGTGTTGGTATCAGACCTTTAAGGGGGCACGATAACCACGCCAGGTATGGTCACCCGGCTTGCTGGCAACACATGATGACATCATAGGCTGCCGGGTAACTAAGAAGCAGGTTGTGTTCCGAAATACTAACACTCTTAACCACAGAGCATCTCTCCAGCCTTCTGCGTCACTCTTACTGTAATGTAGTTCAAGGGGTTGTTAAACTGGCTATCTTTGGGTTCCGGTTCCATCGATAATAATTATTGAGCACATAACCTAATAACAGAACTTTTAAACTCAGATGACATGATGGTGAAGTCTGTGAGATCACCACCACCACCCCAGTTGTACTCAATTTTGTATCTCCAGAACTGGATTCAACTTCAGTTGAACAGTACTATCCTTCTTTCTATGTTGGGTGTGTGTGTGTGTGTGTGTGTGTGTGTGTGTGTGTAGGGGGGAGGGGAGGGGCATGGTGTATACACAAAAGAAAGAAGACACTCGTGCTCTTACGGGGAACATGAAACAAACCCCACACAGGACTCTGAGGGAGGACACAATTAAGCGAGAACGCGAAGGGACAAGCGCAGAGGTTCTAAAAGCAGATCTCTGGCCGGCGTACATCAGG